ATATGAAAATGTGCAGGTATAAAAATCCAAGCTCTTACTTGTTCAGCATTCACTGAAAACCACAAAAGACTCATACATTGGTAGTTAAAACATCTGTACTTTAGTGATAAATTGTTAAATCGATATGTCCCAAATTTAGCATACTACCTTCTGTAATTGGAACTCCTCTAATGTGACTGTACAGACAAATCATGGAAAATCAAAATATTTTTGCTTTTATCGACCAGTGAAAACCTTCAAAAACACTAATGTCTCTTTAATAAGACCTTGTGAAAAAAATCTTTGAGATGGAATTTGCGAATATCTGTAACCGATCTTTTCATGATGTCAGAATTCACAACATGAGCAACATAAATAATCTAGATAATATGCAATGTATAGAACTGACTGTGGTATACTGGAACATAAACACCTGTTAAAGACTGTAATAAATAGCTTAGGATATATATAATTGCATATATAATATACCTATATAATGTAAAGCCTACTCTAAACCTCTTCTTAAAGTGGGTGAATACTACCTCAAGATGCTAAGTAAATATTTTTATACCTACACATGATAAGTTGTGTAATACTTCATTTTTCAGCCACAAAAATACATTAAGAATTTGATAGAATGAGAGATCGAAGAATCATGGGGTTTTTTTTTTATCAAATTTATGAGTGAACCTGAACTTAAAGACCTGTATAAAAAAAACTTTTTAGAAGTTTTAATAATCAAAATCTTTTGGTGGAAGATAGATCTTACAAAATGAACTATCCAGAAAAGTTGGGTTGCCAGTCTACAAAATTTATGACCACCACACATATAACAAATCTTTGTTATGGAACAACTGTAGCACAGATCTCTATGTTAAAATTATATTTGGAATGTGATTAACCAGTTTGATGACACATTTAACATTGTCCTTTAAAGCAATGTTAACAAGAATCCTAATGGCAAAGATCTCCAAAATTCTAAATACTCTAACAAAGAAACTACCTAAGTCTAAAATTCTATATATTAAACATACATTATACAAGAGCTAAATGTGCCAATTGCAGGTCTTTCTTTAGACCTGAAATGTTATCTAAATTATTAATTAGACATTAATTAAATTATCCAGACCATGATCAACTCTCGATGTCATCGCTAGCCTGCAATATTTACCAGATTTTATCCGATCTGCTGCTCAACGTTCATTCATGATAAAATCAAAAAATGGATAATAGAGACTACCGACTTTAGTAATGGTGATCGAGGCTAGGCCCAAAATTCAATTGCTTAATTATCGGATCAGAGTGGATCAATTTGACTGAAATTTTCAGCAAATTCCCTTTACATTATCAAATTTTTAACTATTATAGTGAGAACTGCCAGCTCTTTATCTAATCTCCCATAATGTAACTTTAATGTATACATTGATCAGCTTTTTATTTAGAGAATTTTGTTTTTCTATGATTTCTACTCTGCTCCTATAGTTACCTACCTACAGACATAGAGGTATGTTAAAGGTAAGAAAGATTAGAACTCAAGTCAAAGGTGGAGTGGCAACTTCTTTAATCTTTTAAACAAGGTGTTTCTGAGTGCTGGCACTTATTCCATCATAGAACCATCGTGTTGGAATTTGGGTGAAATTTGAATCGTGTTTGTTTTGGAGTATATTGATGAGATGAAAGGAAGAAGTTATAAACAAGGCAATGAATAAATACACCTCTATAACACTTCAAAAATAAATCATTCAACACCTAACACACCGAGATAGAAAACTTGGGTGAGATGTACATTTAAGTTGGTAGTTAGAAACAATATCTTATTACTGCAATGGCGATATATCCTGATATACAGAACTAAAAAACTCACTCAATAAAATATCACAATAATAAAGTAGGGACAGCTACTATAAAGCTTTTTGTTCTATCAGAACAGAATTGTAGAACTTGTCTGACATAACATCAGTTTTTGTCAAAATTTCTGTATTATGTGCATGAGTTACATAATTTCTTTGCAAAAAAATAAGGGATTAGAAATTTTTTTTTACAATTTATTCTGAGAAGTATTACATGAAATGATAGCAGGTATGGAAAAGATACGTGATGATGCACTTAGCAATATAGAAGAATTCTGATGAACAAAATGATTGTAAATTTATGGTTACCAGGCAATGAAACAAATATCCACCAGCAATTTAATCATCTGTGCTGTTTATAATGCTTTGATATGATCAATTTCTCCAGCAAGTTTGAAGAAAAGACTTTGATCACATGGTTTCAAGATGATTGAATTACTACAGGTTTTATTTTTAAAATAAGCAAGTCGCTAACCCAATATCATCCATATAGTCTTCAATATTGCAAACACGACTTATTGGTCAATTTAAATCAACATTGATGTTGTTATCTTACCATGAAAATTAGACTTCTGATATCCAATATTTAAGACAAAATGAAAATTTTAAAATTGGCACACAAATCGTGTGCCACAAATCTTTTGAGCACCATTTGTAATGAAGCGACTCAATGAATGAGGCTAAACATATTTCACAGGAGAATACTACTGGTGTAGACTGGAATAACCAGGTGCCAAAGTTTGCCATTCAATTTGGACTATTCGCGTATTTTGTCGAACATAACTGATTAGAAATTACAGTAAAAGCAGGAAAGATTGAATGTAAATCAGTTTATTTACATTCATATTACATTATTATATGCGTTGAGACCCATTTGTGTCCATTTCTAGTTGCCAAAAAAAAGAGATTTAGCTCCTTGAAGTTTGAAAACAAAATCACATAAACCCTGACCTGATGAGTGATTATAAGGTTTCCATGACAAGGGCACACAACTTCTAGTTTGAAAGGTAGGATACCACCTTATGACCAGTTGAACAACTCCTTCAAAACTTTGGGCAACTGCAAGGTTTTGATAGCAGGAGCAATAACTTTGCAAATAACTGATAAGTTGCTCTGAATTTGGATACGGATCAGGTCAATGGGTAAGCCCAGCAAGTTTGAATACACAATTGCAAAAACATGACATATGTACAAATAAGAACCACAATAACAAGCCAATACAAAAAAAACTAAACGTTTATTCTAATTTGACTACAGATAAAATGGGCAGTAAATCTAATCCAGATAAATGTTTTTGCTGGTTCGAAGAAACTTCCAAGGAGTTCAAGAAAATAACTGTATTAAAAGTCTACATGTATATACTGAGTAACAAACAGAGAATGTTTGACTGAATACAAGGGAGGCTTAATATTGTGTGAACATTTTTACTATCTACACTACTGACTAGAAACAGATTCAGTACATGATGTTATAATCCTCACTACAACCAAATTCTCAGGTAAAAATTACAATTAAAAGCAACAGGTGAAGCACTCTGGAAGTATTACTTGCTTTTAATGGGTCATGTTTTATTAATCTAACATTTGAGAAACATGTACCAGTATTTTTTTGTAATTTTGTTGTAGAAAATATTATTGACTTTTTAATGGGTGCGTATTATCTGATAATTGAAATGTCCAGATTGTTAGTGAAATATATGTTAGATCTAACTTAAGTTATCGTACTTGCTCTATTGATCTTATAGGGATAATTTTAACATATTGTACATGTATATTACATTTATTAAAATAAAAATACAACTTTTCCATAACATGGTATAAATTTATATGCAATTTTTTGTTGTTTTTTTAAAAATGGAATCTAGTTTTCGAGAAAAAGTAGGCCTCACCTTTGACCATTTACAGTTAATTTCTGTATAGTCAGAAATCAAAGTTACTGGGTGAAAGATGAAGTTACTGGGTAGAAGATGAAGTACATGTAAAAAGGTAGAAGAGGAACTTACTGGGTAGAAGATGAAGTACAAATGTAGCAGAGGAACTTAAACTGAGTAAAAGATGAAGTTACTGGATAGAAGATGAAGTTACTGGGTAGAAGAAGAAGTTAATGGGTAGAAGATGAAGTTACTGGGTAGAAGATGAAGTAAATGGGTAGAAGAGGAATTTACTGGGTAGAAGATGAAGTAAATGGGTAGACGAGGAAGTTTCTGGGTAAAAGATGAAGCAAATGGGTACAGGATGAAGTTACTTGGTAGCAGATAACCTTATAAGCCACCAGCATAATTGATTAAAGACAAAGGCACAACAAATATCAATTAACTATTTGAACCGTGAGGTGTTATTAGGTGTTCTAGAAAGTAATCATTGTGTATTATATTTTGCCAATCACATTTCAACAGAGAGATATCTATGTGCAGTAGGTGTAAATATCATCTGTTTTCAATGTAATATAATTTCTATACCTTTATAAAGCCGACTAATATCACCCACAGTTTATTATACCACACAGCCCACCCTGTGAAGACAAAACTGTGTAACTTATGGCAGAAAATAACTATCTATTATACCCCAACAAATAATCTAAATAGTGTATTCATGTAATATATCATATTTATAAAGCTTGTCTACCTATGACCCTTATTCTGAATCCCTGTAATAAATAAAGTCAGCAAAATGATGAACTCGTTTTTTTTTTATATCATGTGTGGTCCTTTAATATTCAATTATCACATACTGTATGGAAGCATTTGTAAACAAATTTTTGAAATGAAGACAAGTCATATAGTCTCTCTAGATCAATTACAGCAGCTGATCATTGAATGAATGACAAAAAAACCCACATCAAACATGATGTTTCCTGCACAAAGATTACAATTAAATGTCATTAAATTTTATATTAAGAATTGTTCACAAAATCATGGATATGTACACTAACTAAAGCTTTGGTTACATTGTTCAATTTGATTGGTTTCTCTTACACATTCTAAGATCATTTCAACCAATCAGCATGTAACATTAATAGCTTAATATCATACATTATTTCTACTTTGGGAATTAAAACAGAATGGAATGATACTACAAGTTCTTTATCATCACCTTTAAATATAAAGAAGTTTTAAATAGACATAACCTTTAAGTTTAAAGCACTGATTATAGGTAAAAGCAAAGCACCTACCTGGGAGAAATTAAGTTCATTTAAAGGAACACATTGTTCTTCCACCCGCTCGACTGCTCCCGTAACTTTTCCCTGGCGTTCGGACATCTGAGCTAAATATAAATCCAACACTGGTATACCACGTGATTTTATATCTCCTTCTGTTAAAGAGTTCACCATTAACATAACCCACACAGGACGTTTACGTTCCCAATTCCCCGCGATTGCATTAAATAAATAATCTGGATATAAACCCCTCCCCTTTTGGTCAGCTGTCATCCACTCTGGAAGTGCATCCCGAACATAGTCCAGATGGCGTTTCAGTCTGTTGTATATATCCACAGGTAAAACATTGGATAAATTTTCTCCGTGTGGTAATAGCTGACATCTTGATAACGCTGATATTGTATATGGATCAGTCAAATCTAATTCCAAGAAGATATTTTCTGCTTGGTTAAAGGCTTTTTTGGTATTCTCTGGCACAAAATCCCACACCCGTGTATAAGGAACATGAATTGTTCCGAAAAAGTAAGATGGCGGTTCTCTCTTTACTATCCACAAAAAAGAATTTAATTCACTTTGCTGAAAGAAAAGAAAACATAGTGAATTCATAAAAAAAGAATAACCAGTTCCTTGTTATATATATATTGTGTGTTTTGTCCATAGGTTTGTCTAGTAATGTTGTGTGGTGCAGTCTTCCTGCACTTACTTTTAGAATATACTGTTCTATGATCAAGAATAATCTTTTATCAAGATTGGGTTGGCTCTATTGACAGCAATTCAACATGACACATTCACATATTGAAATAGTCCAGTTTTATCTATAGGATATGTGTTTCATACAGAGGAATTGTGACTACTTTTCACATAACTTTGAATTATCCACTGATCATCTGAGACTGATTACCATGATCTGTATAATGATATACGGTATAGTATAATTATAGAATAGATTTCATAGTTATTCTAGCTAGTTTCTATAGTTATTATCATATGATGAAAAACTGATAATCTGTAATATTCCCCTTTAAACAAACCTTTGTACATCTAGAAAGTCTTAAATATGAAATGAGATTAATGTAGATCCTTCCTGAAATTGGGAAATTTTAAAAAATATACTAGTAATTCAAAACTTTTAACCAGGTTATGGTCTGTGTAGGTATTCATCTATGTAACATAGTGTACATTTCTGATGACCACAATTCAAGGGGTGTTTTACGGCATGGTTCCCTCTTGACAGTGGTGCAGAACAGAGGAGTCTTTCAGATGGGGCAAAAAAAATGTGGTCCTTTGTACATGTTGGCATGCAAGTAAAAGATCCATTGGCAGTTGGAATTTGATATACGACTAGACTGTTGTGCTGCTGTATGGGCAAATTTCATTCATATCACAGTGTATTAGCCCAGTCAGAGCTGAACAGTAGGACGTTAAATCCTATTTCATTACATTTCTGATATAAATTTATGAAATCCTGAAAGTGCCACTGTTTAATGATACAGAATGTCATTAATCTATTAAAAAGTGGATGAAAAATGGTTATTTGTTTTTTGGAACTTTATGAAAGTAAGATGATGTAGAATTACAGATACAAATGTAAGCTGTACTTAGTTATAAATTATAAAGTACAGAAGTAGATTGATGTATAGTGCATTACTTTAACAACAACTGGTGTAGAAACATCACACTCAATCTCTACAGTTGATGCCAGCAAGATAAATTTCGTCTGGATAACCTTTAGAATTGGTCTAAGTAAAGGTTATCAAGTCTACTACTGATAACCAACAAGATTTACTGTGTGCACGGTACAAATAGCTAAAGGGGCATACACTGTACACAAAGCAGGGGTTTGTTTTCAGATACATTTACCCAAAATTCCTGTTTTCATTAGCCCAATAGGATGTTAAACCCCAATTCATTTCATTACCCAAAACTTTTAAATTTTACAACACTTTGAATCTGTTGATATCTATGAGAGGTTATGAAACGCAGTGTAGGCACTAGGCCTACTCAATAGAGTTTATTCTTATTCATTTTGGCCCAGCAGTGCAGCTGAATCATGTACATTGCAATATATCTAAAATGGGTAGCTGGGTTGCAATATATCTCGGTGTGTTGCATCATCAAGGTAAAAATGTATATGATGTAAGTTATGGTATGTGATTTAACAATGAGATTGATTTAATGTAGATTCTACAACAAAAACCCTTTGGGCCAAGTCATGGTGGGTTAGACAGGTATAGTGGGTGGGAACTCTTGTAATTTTACTCTCTCTCTCTATCACAGCTCTCTAACTACACCGGTTTAAATATTTCTATAACAGTAAAGATCTATCAGTTGATTACAAAAGCTCTTGAACAATGATAATGAAATCGCAAGCTTTCTACACCCTAGATTTATTATCTGTGACTACATTGTTTTCTTCTAAAAATCTTAACTTAAAATATTCCCACCAACAATTCAAATTTCAGCCAAGTAAATGTAACATAAAAATTAAATTTTGGCAAAAAAAAGTCACAGATGCTAATATAATTCATCTTTTTTTTTTATCTCGAGACGAAAAAATTGAAAAAGATTTGGCAATTGGAATGAAGTGGGTTATGTGTAAAATGAATTACTGTAAAAGTTTGCATTTTTTTTCCAATTTAGTTGTATTTATGACATCATAGTCTACATTTTAAGTCCTAGAAAACTTATGTTTACAGAAAATGTTAAAACATGTCAGGCAATGTTTTGACGATGTAAAACAGTAAGCTAGGAAAGAAAAGAATATGGTGTATCACTTGCTTAGTACACTTTTTTAAACATCCTTTCAAAAAACGAAAAGAAATGGATATTATAATTTTATTCATCTTTCCCATCTAATTATATTGCAGACTCTGTCAAAACACTTTATCAAAGAAGAATATAGATTTATTTCTTGTCATGAGATTTGATCAGAAATAGATAGAAGTTTGTCCTTAAATACCTCACAAGCAGCAATGTCATTGCACTTGCTCTAAAAGCATTAAGGGTATCAACCAATCCTGCTGAGTTAATTAGTTTTAAAAATCCAACCAAGTTTTAAACGATTCCATTATAAATTTTGTCTTAATTGCATCAGAAATTTACTACGTACTTTGGCCCAATGTATAAAGTCACCAATTTTTTCAAATTTTATCACATTCAGAAGATTTCAGAAATTTACAAGTAAATTTCAATAGGGGGTGGGGGTGGGGTGGGGTGGATGGCCGAATGGTTAGCGTGTGCGCATTGTATCAAAAGGTCTGTCATTGAGTCAACTGGTGTGGTTTTGATTCCCCGTTTTTTTTCTCTGAGTCCTGCGGTTAAGACTCCTACAACAAGCGAATTATTGAAATAAAATTGAACCATAGGTTAGTCCCAAAATGACCTAGTTTGTGTCAAGTGGACGTCTATGTCTCTCTAAATTTTAATAGAGATTTCCTTCCAAAAAACATTCCCTGCAAATTTGAAACAAAGTTAAGTTTCTTTATATTTTGAAATTAATTTTGATTTACATATACTCATAGGCGTACGAGCTGGGGGGGGGGGGGGGCTGCCCCCCCATTTTGGGCACCAAATGCTAGGAAAATTTGGGCACACAATTGTACTTTGTAAAAGTTGTATAAAAAAAATATTGTCTTCTTGAATGTGTCCAATTTAACAGCGAATTTATTATTATTATTATGTTACATACTAAGAACCTAACTACATTTTTTGGGCACCAACCACCACTGCCTCCCCAGTCAAAAATTTCCCCGTACACCTATACTTAAATGTATATTAACATATTTCTACTTCAAATGTTGTAGGAGACAAGTTATTTAAGCTGAGAACAATTCCCTTTTATTGCTGATATGAACAGCAGTCTAGCCCGAATTGCAGGGGGAAAAAATGGTTGGGGGAGTAGGTGCACTACTCTTGCCCTGCAATCTGTTTTTATTGTTCCCATTTCAAAGATAGTATGTATTGGGAAGAGGGCCTCCTAAAAATTCTCATAATACTGATTTTGGCACCATAATTTTCAAGAATTATTATTTTTTTTCTAGCAGGTTTTGGTTTTCAATTTTCTGGTTAAAATTATTCAGTCTCTGCATGTATTTATAATAATAGCGATGGCTGGTTTATGCCATTGACTGAAACAAACACGTGTCTGGAGCTGTATTGGTTGGTCTAATATATAAAGATAGACAACAAATGTAGGTAAAATGTACCTAAATACAGTGTATTATTCTTACATTGCTATAAACAAGCCCAGTCAATGGCGATAATCATAATATCTCTACAGACACCACGTGGTCTAAAGTAGACTAAACCCTCATCATATCTAGCCCCCGATACAATGGAATTTTGTTTGTTTACTCGTTCGACAACAAAGATACGCGAACATCAAAGAGCGCCGCCGTCAGGTATTTTGAAAGCGCAATTGAAATTCCATATCCCTACATTATATTGGGTGTATTTGTGCTAATTGTGTTAAACAGTAAAAAGTAAATAGCGATAACTTGTGAAAAATAATGTAAACTAAGATAAAACACATCTAGTTATAATAACTGAATAAATATAAAAGACAAAGTTGGAGAGGTCTATAGATTCACCTCCTCGCCATTTTAAAGATAAGCTTCTCAAATAAATCGACGGTGTTCTAGTGAAATTATGTCTTACAAGTTTTAATACCCACCTTAAAAAAATATCTGATAAGTATCATTAAAATATGTGGTAATATCGACACGCGCTGTCTTTATAAAAAGATATTTAGCGGTATTTAAAACTGAATCGGGCATTATGCTCGGGGTATAAATTAGTGCCTACGCGTGACTGTGTTGGCTACCGTTATAATCCATCGCCCCAAAGAGAACCATTTCAGGCGTTCATTTAAACAAGTTACAAATTAATTGTTCATCAAGTTAATTGCCCGGATTTAGAACATTTATGGTAGCTGAAATATGCAAATATTAATATTCACAGAATCACTATACTAGCCTACTATAAACGGAAATTTCTTAAGTAAAAATTGTTTTGGAGAGAATGTGGGATGTGCGTCATTACACTCTGCAGAATTCTTACAAATTTCAAAAATCCCTTTACATTTTTTCTGTTCTACGCTATTTGTATTTCAAACTGATTTAATTTATTAAAATGCACCATAAGTTGAAAATACCACAGCAGGTTCCCACATTCTTAAAAGTTTTCAATTATAATGATAATTGAATTATCTTAATAAACGATCGTGGTTTAAAGTATAACGGTTTGCCCTACTGTCGGGACAAAAAAAAATGAAAATACCAATTTGAGACGGATATCTAAAGTACCAGTGCCGTTTGTCATTAGTGTGGTCATAAACCCACATAATTTTGGCAAAGACAGTTTTTGTATTCCAATTCAATGTGTACGGAAACAAACTGTTCACTCTGGGGGGTTTGCTGACAGTTCCAAATAGTACAATGCAACTCATCGACGTATTTGCCAAAACGACAGATTGCTTTACCGAATTCCTAATTAAATGAAATGTGTTTTAACTTTTTACTGTTCTACTCCTACCGGGATAATGAAGCCGGGGAATTAATAAATAGTTGTATACATACATGGCATATCGTGCGACATGCGCGACATAACAAGACTTTATTTTTTATACAAAGGTTTTAGACAATATTACAGAGTTTGTTATTTGTTAATTACTTCGTTGTCTATATATTTTTCTTGTATCATGAATCAAAACCATTAAAGGGGCATTATGGGACATTGGATAAAGAGCTGATAGTTCTCACTATAATAGTTAAAAACTCAATAATGTAAAGGGAATTTGCTGAAAATTTCAGTCAAATTGATCCACTCTGAACCGAGATATTAGCTTTTGAATTTTAGACCTAGCCTCGATCAGCATTACTAAAGTCGGTACAATAAAAAAAACCATAGTAACTCGATTATCCATTTTTGGATTAAATCATCAATGAGCGTTGAGCAGCAAATCGGATTCAAATCCAGTAAATATCGCAGGCTAGCGATAACATCGAGAGTTGATTGTGGTCTGGATAAATTAATTAATGTTTAATTAATAATTTAGATAACATATTAGGCCTAAAGAAAGACCTGCAATAGGCAGATTTAGCTCTTGCATAATGTATATTTAATATTCTTATAGTGAATAATATAGGAAATAGTTTGAGTCGACTTTTTCTCAACTGGTTTTGGTGTTATAAAGATTTGTTTCTTTGAGAAAAGTTGCCGAGCAAGATATTTACTAAAATTTCTAATTGCATGTTTTTCATCTTTAGAACAAAAGGAAGACCAGTCTATTCGTAATGTTATTATCATTTCTCTGAAACTTTTGTTTTCTTTTGAAATTTTCCATCAACATTTGTATAGTGGTCGTATACTAATGATATTGTGTACCTCTGAGAAAATTTCAAAATTCTTTCTAATCCTCAAAAACGGATTTCTCTTGGGATTTGTTTTCGTCACGCAGGCAGACTCGTGTAAATCTAAAGTTATCTATACGTTTGTAGAGGCCACAGGTCGATTTTTTGGAAAGTGGCATTCCCCTTTACACAAAATATAAAAAGTGCGTAACGTAGAATTGAAGAATTAATGAACATCGCATAGGTATATAAACTTGTTTATACCAATACAATGATGTGAGGAGATAAAAAAAATAAGGTATTATTGCTTTCCGAATCTTAGTTGTCATTGCTAAATTTTAATACGTTTAAAATACTTACGTTTGAATTTGGAGGACACGTGCCAATGTTCGCACTATCCTCTATCTTTGCTTTGCTGTATATCGGCGGTATGTAAAAGAGAAATACAGATATACATAGTAACCATGGCATTTTGGGCCTACATCCATGAATATTGGCCACTTTATCATCGACAGTCACAACTTGATAGATTTCAGAAAAATTTAACAAAACAATAACGTTTATGAAAAATTCCACGATCAACGTGTGACTACATATTTCAAATAATTACAAAGGTTAAACACTAAATTCACGTGTTTCTGGTGCGGCTGCTTCTCGGTACAACTGTTCTCGTTCAATGATAATTTTAAAGATTAAAAATCACAAAGTGTCGTTAGAACAAAAAAAAAGGAAAAAGAACAGTTTAATTGCTGTTCGGTATTCCTTGCTGTTTTAAGTTGTCTGTGTTTGTATTCTGTCTGAAGGCTACGAATTGGTGCAATAAATTTCTGATATCTAATCTAATAGTTTATATATCATTGTCCAAACGAGGCGGTTTAATTTCAATCAAATTTATATCCCAACTTCTGTTTCGAATTATAAAACAACCCTATCCTCATAGCTTATCATCCATCGCAGGTGAACACAATCCATAAATGAACACACGGTTTCTTCAAATTTGAGACACATTTTCAAATTCCACTGTTAATTAAATTCGTGTCGTTTTATCTGATTTGCTAAAATTAAGTACACGACGAAACAAATCAAGTAGGATTGAGCCGTAAGAAAAATACAATTACTGGTCTGACTTGTACAATAGCTGATTATCGTAATAATAAACAGCGGTATCCGCTCTTTGATGTCTACCAGTCAAGTGGAACGCAAGTTTTCCCTTCGTTCTTATTGTAATTCTTGAAGTTCTTTTTTTAAGGTTTCGGCCTCCAGGCCTGTAAGTGATCATTGCATCGTTTTCTCTTCATAGCGGTTTTATATCCAGCGCACCTTTTACATCCAACCCAATGATCATGAATTGAAAGCTATTTATACTAGTAGTAGTAGAACAATCCACTTCAACGTATACGTACTAACTTTCTTACACTTTCTATCTGTCTTAACTCTATCTAACTTTTCCTTCTTTATCACTCACTGTGTTTACTTCTTACTACCATTCACCGACCCATGAGCTCACAAAACCATGTCTGGTCCGCCGTCTCATTGGTTCGGTCAACCTCGGCTAAAAATAGACGGTTAAACGGTTAGCTGGTGGGTCGGGGTGCGAGACAAGGTTGGAAACATTGGTCACTTCTAAACTATGGTCAATGCGTGCAATCTGCCGGACAACTGGTAACTGATCCCGAATTGCGATACAAAAACACTCAGCACGTGTTTTTCATATCAAATATAGTTCGGGTCTCGTTCAGTGAAACATGAAAACTTCACCGACTTTCATTTGTTAAAATATTTGAAGGAAAAGAGCGAACGATCGAATGTTAACGCTGTTCAAATAGTTTACCAAGGAAATCGACACAAAAATTTCATTCATGAAAAATCTCACGTGGGATGTGGAGTTAGAGATGAGGCTAGGATTTGTGACATACCAGATATAGATTGTGACTTTTACTAAACTTACATTAGACACCACATGAACAATCTTTTTTCTCAAATAATCTAATCATTCATGTTTTCCTTTTACCAGACTTGACAATTTGAGAAGCACTGGTGCAAACGAATATCCCCACCCTGTCCCCGATTTTATTTCCTCGCTCATTACAGTTTACACACAAATAGTACAATTCGTTCGGCTATGAATGAAAAATTGACCTAAACTTTGACAGTAACAGACCCAAACTAATTTAAGAGTCAGTCTGTTTCTTTTTATTTATTTATTTTTTTTTTTTGTAAATTTCTAAATCATTGGTGACGGTCGCTTTAAAGACATCTATCTATACGACCGGTGTAAAGGTGGTAAAGTAGAGGTAAACAGCACGTGCAGTGTTTGTCGTCGGTTAAAGGGATCATGGGGGTATTAGTAGTGAACAGATTGTGCCGTGCCGTTCGTGTAATTGTAAGTGTTGATTGATCACACGGCTATAAAGAAAGCATATGATGTAACAGAACTTGTTCTGTAGACAGGCCTACTATAATGAACATTATTATTAACCCCGAAGTTAAGTGATTCAATGATATATTTTTAAAGTACGTGTACCACTGATCAGTTACGTACATTTTACGTTAATCTGCCCATAGCGCTATTTGTTTGGCTTAAATCGCTGATCCCTATCGTCTATTTTTCAGACAATATCTAATTTTACACTGCTGAAATCCAATATATTATCTAACCTTTAATTAGGATAAAATATCAACAGTAGACAATCGCCCGTCTTGAATTCCATAGGATTAAAACGAGGCGCATCAAAATGTTTTACCCAACACTCATAGGTGGCACTTGCTTGTATTATCTTCTGCAGAGGATGCGGGATATTGAGAAATTTTCAATTAATCATTTCTTGGTTATTACTGATAGGGTTGAACCAATTTTTAACTGATATTCCTTTTATAGATTCGACATTCACAATATTGAAGTTTTCAATCGATTCAAAATTATGGGTTGCTTTAGTGTCGTTTTTGTGACGGTATTCAAATGGTAACCTTTTTTTAAGGAATCTCTTAATGTCATAAGCCAGGTCGTTATTTCTCAAAAGTAAAAAAGTATGTAAAGATTGTTGTTACTGTGTAACAAAGGACATCCGAGTATTTAAAAAAAAAGACATTCATGTGATGCATGCTTGTACCAGCTAAATTATTATTACTATATTTAATGGCGTGGAAAGAGTAGAAATTATGGTAAAACTTAAATGGTCATAGAAATCAAGTATATGGTAAAACTTAAATGGTTTGAAGAATAATTTTGGGCCACAATTTTCTAAAATAAAAGTCTTGACTCTATATTGAACATTTTTCGGGTATGTTCGGACTTTCAGTTCAGGAGTCATTGTAATGTACGAACATTTCGGCCTGACTTAAAGACATTTTTCAACAATAGATTCTCTATTGTAATAATTGTGTTCTGCTGTAAGAATAAATTAGAAATTGAAATGGCTTAACAATAAATAACCAATAAATTTAATCAAATAATACAACAACTAAGTGGCAGTCATTATTCACTCGATGTCCTGGTATTGTATTCTAGAGAAGGCGTGGTTTTGGTCATTGACTTCAGACAGAAAGTGAAAAGAAAAGTATCCCGGGACGCGCGACCATAATGGCAAATAACCATGTGATAAATGACCACCCCCATCCTCCCCCTGTGAACCGTCTGATAGACTGATGAAATAAAGCGTAATTATTTGCTAGACTTCAAAGCCAACATTAGACACCATGCACGTATGCACTCACTTGCACTGACCAAAGGTTTAGTCTTGATTACCCGGTACAATAAATTATTATCTTTATTTGTTATGTCAAATCGCCATTTTCTGTACAATACAGTTTCTGTATTCAACTAATCTTATAATAAAATATATTCCAGTTTCATTATTTTTATATTTTCATTTTCAATTTTGGTAGGTTTTTACATTATATGGTGATGTTCTGCTACAACAATTGTATTCCAAATGCTGACATACCCATAATCACTCGACTCATACTTAGCCCTGTATACCATTACAACCATTTTGATTAGTCGAGACCTAACGTGTTCTGAATGCCAACTTAAACATGCATAATGCAAGAGCTGAAATGTTATCTAAATTATAAATTAGACATTAATTAACTTACCAGGACCATAATCAACCCTCAATTCCATCGGATGTCTGTAATATTTAGTGGATTCAAATACATTTTGGGCTGCATGTGGTTACCGTAAAAATGGATAATCGAGATTTTGTTTATTATGGTAACAACGGTATTAATTACAATCAAGGCTAGCCTATAATTATATGACCGTTTCCTTGGCTCAGAGTGAAGTAATTATCTATTTTTTAAGTATTATGGCGAGAACTGTCAGCTCTTTATCAAATCTTACCTAATGCCGCTTTAAAATGACAAATGTTAATGTAGTACAGCATAAAATATAAAACGAAACATAAATGACATCTGATTCAAGACACGATCGCTACTACAAGTTACAATTGATAGGGAATCCTTCATAAACCGTTACTTCCTTATGTTATAATTAAATTACAGAAAACCATCAAAATAATAAGATACCAGTCCTCAATGGCCATCTATTCCAAAGGGAAAATATAAACTTTCATTCCACTCAAAAGTTATTAAAATTGATCGACCCGAACATTTAACTGTCCCATTATCTCAGAACGTCAGTCTAATATAGAATAACAACTTTTTATCCATAAACATTTTAGATAAATAATGACATTTAATAGTCAACAATGATCTTCACTTTAATGTTACATAATTATGTAAAAGAACAATACTGTTGACAGTTAAACACTAGTTTTACAAAGTTTTAGCAAAAAGAAAAGTCATATCAATTGAGTAGATCTGGACTATTTACCCCCCGTTGCCCAGTATGACAAGTTAGCTGACATGTATTTAAGTGATATTAAACGGGGGTTGATTGATGTTAGGACCGGGTCTGTCATTAGAACTAACCAAGACTGATCACATGCTGTGACTCGTCAAGGACAGCTGACCAACAAAGCTGGACATAATTGACGATAATCTACTTTAATTAATCTTATTGTAATGACTATAGGCCCAAAGAGGGACTTGTCCTTGTCCAGTTTGTCACACACCAGAAGACCCTGGCGGTTGGTACAATTTTATCCAGTTAGAAATACTATGATTTCTTCGAACAATGATTACGGTTTTGTTTTTTGGTGAGGCGCCCTGGTAAATAGTATTCAGAACGGCAAAACAGAATCGTCACCCGAACCCTGTAACTCTTCTCGACGGATGAATTCAAATATGATAAAGTACCCTCAATCACAACGGACAACCGATATGCAAATACTATCTCTAAACATTTTTATATACTATAACATCTAACTCTAAACATTCTAATACACATATATAGCTAATTCTAAACATTGTAATAGACAACTAACTCTAAACAACGTAATACACATATACACCCCTAAACATCACAATATGCACATACAGCTAACTTTAAACATTGCAATACACATATACGGCTAACTCTAAACATTATAAAATACATAGATACATTACTCTAAACATTGTTATATACATCTAACCTAAACATTGTAATACACATACACAGCTAACTCTAAACTTTTTTTCTCCTCTCTCTCTTCTCTTTTCAGGTGCTGGATTCTTCCTTCAGAGAACCAATAACAAAAGGAACGAACAAAAGATGAAACCAACTATCATACCGGACAAGAAGACCAAATGGACTAGGGGCCCCACACTCACCAACACGCTCCAAGAGGAGTTGCACCGCCCTGCCATTCAACCGGACAAATCGACCAGACCGACCGAAACGACTTATACAAATTTATATGTACATTTTTTTTTATTTGTCTAAATGTTCGTCCATATTCATATTTGCTTTGTCAAATGTTCTTGTTGTACTGTACGATGTGTGTCTGTAAAATATCTATGTTTGTCACTATTCGCAGTTCTTGTTATTAGCATTTGTTATATAACGTCTCGTCCCGTTATTTATTGTTTTTTTCTTTACATACGTGTATACATGTATATAAATATTATTTAATAATCCCATTAATTCTTTTCGCTAATCACATTGTAAATAATTTCACAATGTACATATAACATGTAATTGTCTGTGATATCACCTCGGTGTAGCGGACGTTAAATAAAGCTATTTTACACCCCCGCCCCAACTCCGATACTCGTCCTGAAATGGTGGTCTGTGGAGTATATCCCGGGCGGGAAGTCATATACTTAGTTCTAAGCAGAAAAAAACAAACTATCACAGAGAGAGGGTTATGGAAACATTTCTGATATCAACTTCCTATTATCAAACCCACCCATAGTGGAATCGTTTTTTTTTTCTAAGCAATATTTATTCACAGAAACTGCAGGCAGAAGCCTATAGACCCACTCTCCATAATAGTACAAACATAAATATATACTGACAAGATGTAAAACAGAAAAAAAAGAAAAGTAAAGTAGAGGAACGATTAAATTATAAAATGGCTATATACACTATATATACGGTATGTACAAACCACAATCAGAAGATTCATATTTCATACATTTTCATAAGAAGTTTTCAAAATCTTTGGGATATGTCGAGGAAGTTATGTACTACAAAAAACAATTTCTTCAGAATTATTTCTGTCTTCAGTTCCGAATAATAAATTTTGATAAAGTTGTGGGAGTTTTGACATTCTCGTAGCTCGTGCATCTGGATGTAAGGGGCAAATTAAAAGAAAATGTTCTAAAGCGTGACCACAATCGCATGT